ACCGCACGATCAAGATAGGGCAGAAGCACTAAAGAAAAAAAAAACGTTGGCGAGTGAGAACACTTGCAGTAGTTGCAGGCAGGCATGCTGCGGCCATGCTTACTGAGGAGAAGTGGGGATGTTGCAAGTGGGCTCGCGGGCGCAGAGAGAGAGATTGGAGCAAAAAGGCTTCTCTTCACTGCAGCCTGTTAGGTAGCACGGCTCAGCGCCGTGAAAAGGGGGAGAGGAAGAATATAAAGAAGACACAAAAGAAAGAAGCGAAAAGGGCGAGACGTTCGCAGAGTTGTGGAGTCCTCGGCTGTCGGCGGTAGCCAAGCGGCGGACGTGCAATGCCTGTGCAACACCCTCTCCTCCAGAAACAGCATGCACTTGGCACGCCACAGTTTGCGCGCGTTGCTGGAGGATGCGTGGCGGGAGTTTTGAACTGCTAAAGTTGCCCCGTTGCGCACCATCTCAAATTACCGTTTTGCACTGTCATGATGTCAGCTCAGAATTTTATTTCCTAACAGGATTTGTTCATTATGTCCCATAACCGGCAAATTTACATAGTACAAGATTTACCTCAAAACGAGGTTTTGAATACATTGGTTTCTATAGGGACTTTCAAGGGGAATTACAATTTGCTTGTTATATCTATTATTTCGTTATAACCCATCTCGCTATAACGAGATTTAACTGTAGGATTTATGACCTCTATGTAACAAAGTAAGAGCGGGAGACATGCTTGACATAACAAAATTCGCCCCGGACAGTGTAGGAATTTTGCCATAGATTCTGTTATTTTGGCACGAGCATGCATCTTCTGGGATTGCCCTGCTGCTAAACAAGTACGAAGCGGTGGCGGCGCCGTACTTGTAGCCGCTGGGAGAGCGAGCTCTCGTTATTGCATTAGATGGCCAGGCGGGCCTGCACCCCACGAACCGGCATTGGGGCACATGCTCTCGGATGTGTCCTCCCCCTCCCTCCAAACCGAAAGGTTGGCAGTGCCGCACTTTTAGTTAGCGTCACAGAGGGGGAGGCACGCTGCGTATGGAGGTGCTTTACCAAATAGTACTAGTTTTCCGCGGTATCCGTGCCGTTCGCTCTTCGTTTTCGACACTGTGCACGGGTGCATAGTTTCACTGCACGTGCATGGAGTGGCCTCGATGACATGAAGCTTTGCTTACTTTTCTCTTTTTTTCCCTATTGCTGACCACGATGTCGTCACTACCGAGGGGATGTCAGATTAGGCGCTGATCAAAACTCTCCCAAGACCATGGTGATGACGACAGATCTTCGGAGGTCTACTCATCACGAGTTTTGTCGTCTTGCGCCGCGCCACAAGTTCGCGGGACCACAGCCTTTGCGATTAGCCTTTTAAATCTGGCAACTACACGATGGCACATTGAATGCACCACGATAAATGCGATAGCAACAAATTGTAATGCTGTACGAAGTAAGGCTGGCAGCCAACTCTTTTGGATCAGATATTGCAAAACTCCTACAAAACGTTGGTATTATCAAATACAGCCACTCCAGGGAGAACTTTTTTAACTCAAAGTTCACCATTGTTACTCTCAAGCGACCTCCCCCCCCCCCCCCCCCTTGTCGGGCCTTTTCATGCTTGTTAAAGACAGGTGTGTTTTTTTTTCTGTTTGAGCATTTGACGATCGTTTTAAAACGTGGGGAATATGTATCGTATGCGCCTTCCTGGCGATAGAGATTGGGCCGGTCATTTGACTTTTGCTTCAGCAGCGCTTGCGTGCTTTTACCCAGCTCGTAGAAGCTACGATGGGGGGGGGGGGGCATGTTCTCATTTTGGGCTTGTTGAGGCTGGTGCACTCCCGCGACTAGCAGCGGTCGTACAACCATTTGAAACTTGTCGCAAGCAGTCGCAAATGGTCGCAAAGCGACTGCTTTGGCTAGTCGCTTCCTGACCGATTTTTCAGTCGTGTGACTGCAATCGCAAAGCTGCTGGAACAAATCAGCGAGGCTCAAATTTAGTTTTTTTTTTTTTTTCTCATTGCGCTGGCCTCCTTCCGCCAGGTACAAATGAGTGTGTTCCTGGGGTCTGTGGCACCATGGCCACTACGGAATATTTGGCTTGGAGATAGGGGGCTCAGCAGCTTGAGCAAAGTGTCGAATTTACGTGGCGGCATTCGCAAGAAGCTGAGAAAATAAATTGTGCACTATCTTTCCCCATATTCAGAATCATTGTTTGTCTTGAATTTGACTTGTCACCGCCTTCAATGCAGCACGTTTGGAACACATTTGTGCTTGATGCCTTGGCAACGATTTCACACCGCGTTCGAGAAGCGTTTGTGCTGCGTTGGAGGCTGTGGCAAGTCAAAATAAATTCTAGAGCGTTTCTGAATACGTACGACTCTCGAAAATACTCCTCGTCATCTCAGCGCGGCTCGGGAGGCAGGCGGCTTGCATGGCCGGTCAACTCCCGCGATTGAAGGAACGGTGACACCCACCACCGGCTTTTTTTTCTTTGGAGACATCTGTGCTGCCAGCGCTGACGCCATGTCACAGTGCACCAGCACCATGACAATCTCTTGTTCATCGCTTGAACCGGACTCTTTGACGCTGTTGGGAGTGCTGTGCGAGAACGGACGAAAACAATAAATGCGGCAAGCTCGGTTTGCTCTGCTTACTCAGCTGGCGGCGATCAGCTTATCGGCGCTGGTCTCCAGAGTTCTCACTGATAACGAGATCCGGACGTGACTGTCCGGTTTTGTGACTTCCAGTCGCTCGCATGCAGCCTCTGCCGGTGTGAACATCAGTCGCTTTTTGGTCGCCAGTCGCGAATGGTCGCGCGACCGCTACTAGTCACTGGTGTGCACCAGCCACGGAACATGGCTGTGACAGTAAAAATCCGTCGCGAGAGTCCACATAAACGCTATCGCAATAATACAGTTCTTTACCGGTAAATAAGTGTTTTGTTGTAGCTCTGCCTTCAGGGCCCTCCTTTTTTTACTTTGCGTGTTTATTTTTGGAATTTTTGTACAAAACCTCTATATAACAAAATCCTTTTTATAAGGAATTTTTCTGGGAAGTTCTCAATTTCTTTATATCCAGGTTTAACTTTATATACATCCTGGTGGCTATAGACTATTTTTGTAAGATATCTGGGTGCTGCCATCTTGGGCTGTTAGGCTGATATGCACTCACCCTACTGTTTTCATGCCTATGTGTTTACCATAACACTGCTTGTTCAGTTGTTAAAGATACAGTGCATGAAGGTTAGCGTCCCAACACGCAAACCCGCCTGTAAAATAGTCAAAAGCTTCCAATGGTCTGCATTACACTTAAAAAAAACCACAAAAGCATGGAACTAAACACAACTAAAAAGCAGGAAGCATAGATAGTGTCACAGCACCATGTCTTTGTCGCTATGTGTCACTGTTTCTGCCTCTCTGCTTTTCCTCCTTCCATGTTTTAGTGGCTTTCTTTGAGTGTAACCATGTACCAACTTGGCCAACAAGCAATGTTTTGAATGGTTTGCGTGTTATTGCAAAGCTGCATGTCAGTGTAGACACTGTCTGAGAGTGTGGCCTCACCAGCTATTGCTTTGACCACGATTTCATGTCATAGCCTAAAATTGTCATAGCCATATTGTCCGTGGCCAAAAAGTAGAAAGATGCAGATAAAAAATTGGGGAACCCTTAAGCTTCGCTTTTATAAGCAGACGCGATAGCGAAATACGGTCCCTAGTGGGCCTTTCAAGCACTAAGTTCATACTTATTAATATGTTTTGTTACACATACACAAACGCGCGTGCAAGCGCGACATACAGATTTTTAATCTAATGCAAAAGTCGCATGGCCTCCAAGATACACGCCGTGCGCTCGCCATCTCGGAGGCCAGAAAGAGTCTCACAATGCCTGACAGATGGCAGCACGTTATCTAGCGTTTGCTGCTTGCTTGATCAACGCCTCTGGAAAGGCATGATATGTTTTCCGCTAGGTGGACATAGTTGTCCATTTTTAGAGCTGTTTTAAAGTTTCTGTGTGTTTTTAGAGGCGATGGCTGCACTATCCCGGCCTTTTTCCACGTAGTTTGATGGCCTCCCAAATGTGCCTACATATTTCCAAATTCGTCGTGACAGCTGTCGAACAAAATGCGTTAAGGAGACTCCTTCCGCTACATGGCATTTATGTAGTGTTTTTTTCCTGAAGCAGCTGCAAGTAACATCGTGGCTTTGGGGTATGACACCTGCTTCCCACGCAAATGGCTCGGATTCGATCCTCAATGTGACCGAAAATTTTATTATTTATTTTATTTGCTTCTTTCTCAATTTTTCACTCACACGATTTTTCCTTCACAACCAATGGTGCTGATGCTGACGGCGGAATTTCTGCGACATGAGCTTTCTAACGCTATCACGTAAAAATAATAACTTTCCGACTCCAAGTGAAGACTGAACTCGGGCCGTTTGCGTGGCAAGCAAATGTTCTACCGCATAGCCATGCGTCTGCTTGCAAATACAGCGCAAATAATTTTCTGCTTGGAAGTGCAGTGCAAATAACTTCCGTGCTTTAGAAACACGCGTGTCTTTTACCACGTTTCACAGTACATGTAATATTATAGTAATATTGCGTGGTACAAGCGTACATTGTTGTCAGGATTCAGAAGATGTGATTATCATGACGACCTTGTGGTTTAAAACCGGACATCCATTATAAAAGGCATACATGTCATTGCACATATTCCTTCATGACCGTATAGTGGGTGCATAGCTAGTTTGAAAAGACTTAATGTGCATAATTGCTTGTTCCTCAAAGCACGCTACTCAATACACAGAATTCAGGGATGGAAGCCACTTTCAACTTTATCGATTACATTGTAGCTATCCACAATTTAAACTTCTAGAGTAACATCATACAATAAAAAGTGTTCACTCAATGGTTGAAGTACACACTAGGGACAGGACATCGTTACTGCATTCAAATCTTAAAAGCAAAGCACAGGGGTCCCCTCATTTTTTTTTAACAATGTAATGGCTTTTTCTGCAGATGCTCCCCAGCCTTTTTCGAGGAAGAAATCCGAGCGCTTCACGAGCGGAGAAACAACATTCGTCAGGTGCAGCAGCGGAGAACGGTGTCCATGGAGAACTACACCAGCCTTCCCGACAACATCCCACTGTCGCTGGTGATAGGGACCAAAGTGACTGGTATGTACACCTGACAACTTCCATGAATTTCACTCATGTACTGTTGGGGTCTAGGCTCGCAGCCATCCAGTACCCCTCCAAGAAGAGCCAGAGACGCCGAGAAACACTTTTTTTATTTCTCGAACCCTTGGCAGTGGCTACCCGTACACAGCTTGTAACTGGTGCTATTGACGAACACTACTGATCATCCTCTTCTTAGCTGATTTGCTTACTGTTGGTGCCCCCATAATAAAGGCTCTTCCTATGATTTTACAAAGGTTACACACAAGTTTTGTAACCCTGCTATATCGGTTTGTGGCTAACGTGTTGCACTGCTGCGCATGAAGCCACAAGTACTGTAGTTAAACCTGCTTATAACGAACCTGCATAAAACCAATTACTCGATATAATGAAATTTTTCTATTACCCGTCATTGCTCCATAAAAGCACATCTATTCGCAACCTCTATGTAATAAAGTAACAGCGGGAGACAACCTTCCCTGTAGAATTTTCCCAGCAGACAATCTAGGATATTTGCCGGTGCCTGCCAGGTCCGAAAAATCGGTCAGCGACATTAATAAGCCTATTGCGCAATTCAGCCTGGTGATATAAAAAAAAAGGAACACTGGACAAAGGTTGCCTCACATGCGCGGTGAAACGGGGTGACATGCACTCGAAACGTTCTTGCTTCTCCTAACTTCTTTGAAAAGGCCTTTCTGGCTGCTCCAAGCCTGCTGCAAAATCTCTTTCTGTGTGCTCCCAGCCTGCTACAAAAGGCACTTTTACTTGCTCTCAGGACTGCTCCCAATCTCGTTTGTTACCACGCCAAAATGGTTATTTTTTGAATGTCTCGGAAAGATAGTTTTGCCAGCTTGAAAAGTACTCCAGCATGTTTTGCGGCAAACAAAATTTTGCACGAGGAAATTATGTTTTCAAAAAATATGTTTTAGAGCGCCATAACTGTTTTTTGGTTGCTAGCTGGTAAACAGTGCAACCAAAAAAAACAAATTCGCGAAAATGTTCAAGACAAAAAAAATTTAGAATATACAGATTTTGAAGATAAATGGCCCAGAAACAGTAACATAATAAATGTTGTACAACATGTTTCTATTCACATAAACAAAAAGAAAAGCGGAACTGAGGAGCTGCTTTATTGTCGTGCCGTGCGGTGAGGAATTGGTTGGTTTTTTGTAGGACACAATTGAACTCTTACCCTTCTCTCAGTATTTTTTCTTTTTTAACAATACAGTCGACTCCTCTTAAACGGAACTCGAAGGGGATCCATAAAACTGTTCCATTTATCAGAAGTTTCATTTAAGCAAAGTACACTTATTTAGTGAACCAAGACCTTTATTCATATTGCACAAACCTCACCTTGCTCATGAGGATGAGTAGGAGAAGAGGAGTGAAGAGTGGTTTGCTTGGTAAACTTGATTTGTTTTTTTCACAAGGTACACACCCTTGCCTGACAAACTAGCTAGAAATTCTGGACAAGTCTCATGCTCAAATAGCGCTGCAAGAGTTCAACAGCCTCTTTAGCTGATCGGTCTGGTGGCACCACTGCACTGGCAGTATTGTCATCACATTCATCGCTGGAAGGTTGATCCTCATCTTGAACTTTGGCAATCATTTCCTCGACAGTCTCTTCACGACAGATACGAATATTTTCATCAATTGATTCGTAGTCCTGCAATGTGAAAGGGGCAGAGGACACGGCTTAACTGAATATTGTCTCAGTGTCGGCATCAGCAGGGCTTTCTTCTGCACGGAGCATGGAGAAAACATCTGTGTATTTTTGTTGCCTTCACTTGCTCCCAGGCACAAGCCAATACTTCGTTCGCTTGCACGTGACCTCACACTGGTAAAGTGGAACTCAACAGACCTCACAAACGCGCGCCTGCATAACTTGGATCCCGATCTGCAGCTTCGTCTTCCCCCAAGGATATCTCGAGCTGAGGAGACTCTTCTATGCCGCCTGTGGCTTGGAGTGGCCTTCACGAACGCATACTCTTATCTCATTGGGATGGCGAGCTCTTCTACATGCACTTACTGCAGTTGCGAAGAAACCATCGCGCACCTTCTGTGTGAGTGCACCCATTTCAACGCGCAAAGACAAGAACTCACTGCAGCTCTGGATAGACTAGACGATCGGCCTTTGTCGGAACAAAGGATTCTGGGTCATTGGCCAAGCCCATCCTCAGCCCAGAAGGCTTTGAAAGCTTTGCTGCGCTTTTTGCCGACAACTGGCCTCAGAGACAGACTTCAGTGTCTTATACTCTTTGATGTTGCCTTTACTCTGTCGCAATTTTTTTTGTAATTTCTCCCTCTCTTCGCAACATTTTTTTTAAGTTTTTAACATCTTTCATTCCCCTCACCCCTTTCCCCAGCACAGGGTAGCCAGCCGGTCTAAGAACTGGCTAACCTCCCTGTCTTTCCGCTTAAACTTTCTTCTTCTATATGGATGGCTGCCGATAAATTTATGCTGTAGCATTTCCCGCTGCCTGCTCTTAGCAGCATCTGATGAAGCAATTGTCTGCGGTAATAAACTTTAATGTTCTGAATAACCCCTTGATCCATCCACTGGATCACTGCCGCTGCATTGGCTGGCAAGAACTCGAGAGTGGTGGCTTGGAGTCTTTGAACCTGACCGAGGGCTGGGCAATTATCGACGATGAAGACAACCTTCCTGCCTTGCCTCGTAAATATTGCGTCTTCCTCCCAAAGCCAGTTTCCAAAAATGGCCATGGTCAACCACGCTCTTCCGTTCCCATGGTACACAACGGGAAGTTGTCGAACGCCTTTCAAACAATGTGGGTGCCTTGATTCCTTTATTACCGACAGCTTCAATTTCTCATCTCCTGCCATGTTGCACCCACCAGCACAATGATGCGACCTTTCCTGCATTTTCCTTCACTACAGGCTTCGCCTTTGAAGGTGAGAGTCTTTGATGGAAGCGCCTTATAAAAAATCTTGTCGACGGTGAAGACGTCTCGTGGCTCAAAGCTCATCAAAATTTCCTTAAGCCGCCCTTGTTGCCAGTCGGTGCAAATGTCGCGGTTGACTGTACCACTTTCACCTGAGATTGGTTTGAAGACTAGGCCATGGCGTGTTTTGAAGCGGCTGAGCCATCCGTCGCCTAGGACAATGTTAACACCCATTGCATGGCGATCTCTTAAGCCGTCTGCTCGAGAATTGGTCCACTTATGGGCAAGTTGGAACTCTGTGCACGCTTGAACCACAGAAAAAGAACTTCTTCTAGTTGTTCATGAGGTGTCGTCCGCATCTGTTTAAATGTAAGGGCCTCGTTCTTAACAGTGCCTTCAATCTTTTCTGTCTTTTCCAGATCCGCGACAGCGTCGATTTCAGGGTGTATTTTTTTCACCACCTCCGTCTTGGGCAGGCCGCTTCGATTGAGCTCCTGAAGAACTTCCGTTTCTTTTTTTTTTTTTTAAGTGCGAGTGCACGGTGTGGTCGCTTTCTTTCCATCGGGTTGAAATAATATCGTGATTCACCACACTTAGCCGCTCAAATGGGCCTAACGCACAATTGACTCGGCGACTCGGCTTCCACAGCCACAAGCGAGAATGGCTACTGGATTGGCTTGTCTCGGTATCGAGTTGTTGCCATGGTTGTGAGAGTACCTTTGGCTTAAGCGAGTCTATGCTGTGTTTAGAGTTTGTGCCGTTTAACCGTAGGTGACCAATAAGCACTGTTTCAATTAACCGATGAACTTTACTGTGCAACACATAGAAATCAAGCCATATGAGCCCATTCAGTTCTGTTAATGAGGCATTTTCGTGTAAGCGAGTTTCGTTTATTGGGAGTCCACTGTAAGGGCCTGCAGATCTTTCAATACAGATAGTTGTCCGTGGTGTGAATAATCCCTCTATAAATAGTATGTCCAATGAACTTCGCTATTTCGTCCATGAGCCACTTCACTCCGCATTGGTTGGCGTTTCAGTGCATGCATCCAAACATATTTCTTTCCTTTTTGCACATCGTATCATAAAAATAATGTCGCGTGCAGTTCTCAAACATTTCGAGCCGCTCTGCATTGAGGCCCAAGGTGTGTTTTGGCGACTTTCTTGTTGTGAAGAGGCGCTCTGCAGCCGGCGCCAGCACACCGCACCCCAGTGACATGTGGCCCTCGCACGTAACCAGAATAGCTATAAGATTGTGGACAAAGGTCAGCAGCTACGCACTTGCGGTGGAGGAGACAACTTGAGGCCGTAATCGAAACAAACCCATGATGGCTTGGGGATGTCTCATGCCGACGCAAAACATCGTCACCATTAAACTTGAAGCTGAGGTGCTTTCATACTCGGACTCTAAGGTTGTCCTCACTCAATTCAAGTGCGATTGCTAGACAGTTTCGAGCTGCGCATGTTTTATTGCAACGAAGGTGCGCACCCACGCGCGCAACGCCACTGCTGTAGGAGCGATTAGTGACAATAGATGCAACCCTGTGTTTGAAATAATGGTACAAGCAAAACCAAAGCTGCTGGAAACTGGTACATGCGACAGACATTAGGAAATATTTTTTTTAGAATAACCTCTTTGACCTACAGCAACAGCTCTCTTTTGAATAGCTTGCCTAAATGAATAGCTGGCATAAATTTCTGGCAATTATTACTGCCCAACACTGTCAGAATGCGAAGCTGACACCTCAATTTCATTGATGACTTGCAACGGTTTCTTGGTTTACAGAACTTTGACATTACTGTAGCCTAACCTCGAGGAGTACGCACTTTTGTCAAGTTCGCCAGCTAAGTGCATTTTCCCAACAACATACGCACATTGGTTTGCACACAGGTCTGTCAAAAGTTACTATGGTGGCAAAACAGGCAAATTCAAATTGATTCTGAACGTTGAGTGGCTGGACTAACTGCTAGAAAGTGCTGGTTGCACGAGAAACAAACTCAACATGCTAAAATAGACAATCCATAACATTGATCACCAGTAATTGATTTGAATAGGCCTGGTTATGTAAAAAAAATGGAACTGCTGCCTAAATGGAACAA